CAGTTGGTTCCTCTGTGTCCGGAGCTGTTTTATTCCCATACAGGGAATTTGGGAGTCTCCTCCCAGAGCTTCCACAGCCATGTTGGGAGACAAGTCCTTCCCAGTTCTGCTTGAGCAGCTCCTTCTCTCACATTTGGACATACACCCAGTTTTCTCTCTGCTGAGAATATACTTGTACATCCAAGGTTATTAGAGAAGCTAAAATCACAAACTTATACAATGACAAGTGTAGTTCAGAATGTGGAAAATATCCATGGGGAACTGATCCTCTGTGTGTGCCCATTAGAGTCCAGATTCAGTCAGGATAATGGTCCTCGAGTGTCCATCAGTCACAGTTCCAGGGTCCCTTTGGTTCCAGGAGTCCCCACAGTGTCACAATTAAACCCTTTTATTCCACAGCATCCCAGTTGCCCTGATGACCCCATGAGGTTCCACAGTTCCCCAGGGTTCCTTTGGTTCCATGAGGTTCCACAGTGTCACAATGGCCCCTTGATTCCAAGAAGCCCTGCAATGTCACAGTGGCCCCTTGATTCCATGAGGTTCCACAGTGTCCCGGGGTTCCTTTATCTCCATGAAGTTCCACAGTATCACAGGGTGCCTTTGGTTCCACGAGACCTCACAGTGTCACAATGTTCCTTTGGTTCCACAGAGCTCTGAAGTTGAAGTACTGAGGCCTGAACAACATCCCTGAGCCAAAGTTGGCCTCTGGATGAACCTTCCAACTTAACGTTCTATTTCTCCGCGGATCCGCTCAGGAGCTAAAACTGTGTATGAGCATCAGTGAAATCTGTAGTGGGATAGGACTGTATCTGATATTGTGATGGTTTTGATCTAGGCCTTCCTAGTAACAAGTTTGTAACCAAGGAAGTGGCCAAGTACCCAGTATTCCGTACGATTTTTACGTAAACTAGAGTATAAATAAGTTGGAGATTAGAGACCTCTCTCTCTTCTCTTCCAACGAGGGTCGGGAACTGTAGGTCCTTGCGTTGGTCTCGCTTATCTAAAGCTGAGGCCTGCAGCGACCGCTGGCCTGCCACGTGGGGGGTTTGGAGAGTGCTGGCTGTGTCTACCAATCCTGCTTTTCTAAGGGAAGTGGTGAGATCTGTTTTGTTAATTACTAGTATAGTTCTTGATTTTGATCAAGTATACCTGTTCGGTGTCCCTTTTTTCCCCTTTCCCTATCCCTTCGGGGAGTGGATCCCCTTTTACTGTGTATATAGCATCTTAACTGTATATAACTTTAATTTACGTAAATATATATATATATTATATAAACAGCTTGACTTTGGGTTCTTATTTTTTATAGTTTTTTTTTTCTTTGCCCTGAGAGGAGAAGGGAGGGAGGAAGGGGACTGCTGTCGTGACTTTCGGGCATTTGGCAGGGAGCCAAGTCCAAACCATCACAGATTTTCTGGTGGCCTGGTACGGGGAGATTGTTTTGGTTATCCTGGTTTGTTTTGGAACAGTTACCGGGAAAACTGCCAAGAGAGGCTTGTTTATATAAACAAACCTATTTTTTTAAGAACAGAGAGAAAGAATAATATAACGATGGCTATTCTAACTACTTGTTTCATTGTACTAACTATATTTGTGCCTGTTTTGGGCTATCCTGTAGGGAAACGCCCAACTGGAGATGAATGGGAGGAGTATATCCCTTCCTTTGATTGGGATGAATGGAAAGAGTATCTCACTTTCCTTGATTGGAATGAATGGAAAGAGTATTTCACTTCCATCAATTTTGACATCAAAGACCTGCTAAAGGAGATCCCTATCATTACAATTAGCTCCAATTTTTACTTAAATTGTTTAGTGACAATCCTAGTACTCGTAAAGGCGATGAAAGAGTTATTTAAAACTGGAAGAATGGTGTTGTATTGCTTTTCATCTTGTAAAAAAGGTCAGACCTCTAGAGGATTCGCTGGAACTTTGGGAAGAGTCTTGGAAAAACCAGTTTCTGGATGACAAAGAGCATGGGTAAATTTTAGCAAACTGGTAGGGCGTGTGGCACCTCCCATTGTTTGAGACTTCACGCCAGAACATGTGTCTAATCCTGATGAGATGACACGTTGTTTAGTTGAAGGATGTCTTTCATACGATGACCCAAATACGCAGTTCCTTGCTTTATGCTGGGGTCTAGTGACAGCTTATGGAGCTGCCTTAGATCACTATCAAAAGCCTAAGACAGAGGCAGAAAGTCAAAATATGTCACCTGAAACAAATGATACCCCTATTGAGTCCACAGACGTCAAGATCCAGACTCAACCTGAAGTCAGCACCATCTCTATTGAGTCAACTGAGTGTGGAACACAAACTCAACCTGAAGTCAGCACCGTCTCCGTTAATTCAACTGAACATGGAACACAGACCCAACCTGAAGTTAGCGCCATCTCTATTAAATCAATTGAGTGTGGGACTCAGACTCAACTTGAAGTCACCATAACTTCTACTAAATCTGTTGAAACTGGAGTCCAGACCGTAGATCTCATGGACACTAGAACTCAAACTACGACATCTAATGTTAAGGCTACGACAGAGATGAAGACCCGGACTACCAACCCAAGAATCACTATTGCCCCCCTAACTAAGAAGAAGATATGGATAAGGGATACTGCAGAAGCTACAGGCCTAGTTCCACGATTAAGGCGTATGGAAGGAGAAGAAGAAGAAGAAGAAGAAGAAGAAGAGGGAGCAAAGGGACTTGCCAGCCCCATGGAACCTATCCCATCCAATTATGTAGTAGTGGACAAATGGACGGCTGCAAAAGAGGAAGAAGTAACAGCGAGAGAAGGAGCGCGCCCAAAAGAATTAGGAGTGCGTCCAAAGGAAAAGGGAGTGCACCTAAAGGAAGAAGGGGCGACAGCACAAATAGCCAATAAACCACCAAAGACAAGGCTGACGCCCAAATATTCTCTTCCTGACTTTCCAGCGGAAGATACAGAAGAACGGTTGAGACCTTCATCCCAAAGTCTGAAGGACTACTCGCTACCTCCACCTCGTGGGCTTAGACAACGGAGTAGAAGTCTATCCCCGCTACATGCTCAGTCTCTGCCTCCACGTGAGAGAGGTAGAGAGAGAGAGAGAGAGCAGTTCCACGTAGAAGCGTGAGAAGGGAAGTGGAAATGGTTCCACCTAGGGGAGACCCTTATTCTGGAGCAGCAATTGTGCGAACGAGTGAGGTACTGCGAACAATGACCCCAGCAGAGCTCCGGGATCTACGACGGGATTACAGCCGCCGGCCTGGTGAACAAATTCTCACCTGGCTGGTACGATGTTGGGATAATGGAGCCAGAAGCCACTTGTTAGAGGGTCATGAAGCACAGCAGCTAGGATCCCTCGCTCAAGACCGTGAAATAGAACAAGAAATCGCAAGAGAGACATACAATCTCAGTCTCTGGCTCCGAATCCTCCATGCTGTGAGGGAAAAATATCCATTTAAAGAATACTTAATGAGTTCTCCGAAAAAGTGGACGAGTGCAGAAGAAGGCGTCCAATACTTACGAGAATTAGCTATGCTGGAACTCATTTATTGCAATTCAGATTATTATGACTGTTTAGAACCAGAGAAGATTTCATGTACAGAGCCAATGTGGAGGCAAGTGATTAGAGGTGCCCCTGCATCATACCTTAATTGCTTAATATCAGTATATAATCCAAAAACGGATGAACCGACTGTGGACACCATGTGTTCATGGATACGGACCATAGCAGAAAATTTGGAAAGGTCCTCCGATGCCCGACACCGACCTATCCATGCTAGGGAAGCAATGGAGAGGCCCTATGAATATTTCAGATATGAAGACGACTATAGGGATAGAGATGATAGAGTCTATATAGACTACAGAGACTTTAGAGACAGACCAATAAAATGGTCTCGACCACGATTTCGACCTCGATCTTGGTCCCGGCCTCGTTCACGGTCTCCTTTCTTAGTACGCAGAAGGAGAGGAAACCCCAGACGGAGGTCACGTAATCAACTGTGGTCCTATCTGCGAAGCAAAGGAGAAAACATGAAGAAGTGGGATGGTGAACCCACTTCCAAACTTGAGGCCAGAGTGAGAGAGTTACAACAAAAGGAAAACAACAAAAAGGTTGTCTACGTGATTGATGCAGATGCTCTACAACCTCTGAAACACAAAAAGATGGAGGTCCGCTTTGACAATAACAAGAAGGCTTCCAAGAAGGCAAAGTCAAAGTCGGACGATGAATACTCCGATCAAGACCAATAGAGGGGCCCTGCCTTCTGCCAGGAGAAGGATAGGGACCAGGAAGATAAGAGGGTTTACTGGGCTGTGTGGGTTCGATGGCCTGGCACATCGGATCCTCAGAGATACCGGGCTTTAGTGGATACTGGTGCCCAGTGTACTTTAATGCCATCAGAGCATAAGAGTATAGAGGCTGTTTCTATTTCTGGAGTGACCGGAGGGTCTCAAGAGTTGTCAGTGGTAGAGGCCGATATGAGCTTGACAGGAGACCAATGGCAAAAGCATTCCATTGTGACGGGGCCAGAAGCCCCTTGCATTCTTGGTATGGACTACCTAAAAAGAGGATACTTCAAAAACCCGAAGGGGTACCGATGGGCTTTCGGTGTAGCCACGGTGATTGAAGAGAAGTCCAAGCAATTGTCTGCCCTATCTGGCCTCTCAGAAGATCCTTCCATTGTGGGACTACTCCAAGTTAAAGATCAGCAAGTGCCTATAGCCACTGCAACTGTACACAGGCGACAGTACAGGACAAACCGAGATGCTGTGATCCCCATTCACAAGATGATCAGGAAGTTAGAGAGTCAAGGGGTGGTCAGCAGAACACACTCACCCTTCAATAGCCCTATCTGGCCTGTACGTAAATCCGATGGAGAATGGAGACTGACAGTGGACTATCGTGGCTTGAATGAAGTCACGCCACCATTGAGTGCTGCTGTACCAGACATGTTGGAGCTCCAGTATGAGCTGGAGTCCAAGACAGCGAAGTGGTATGCCACTATTGATATTTCTAATGCATTTTTCTCCATTCCCTTGGCAGCAGAGTGCAGGCCACAGTTTGCTTTCACCTGGAGGGGTGTGCAGTACACCTGGAATCGACTGCCCCAGGGGTGGAAGCACAGTCCAACCATTTGTCATGGGCTGATTCAGGCCACCCTAGAGAAGGGTAAGGCCCCAGAGCACCTGCAGTACATCGATGACATCATTGTATGGGGGGACACAGCAGAAGAAGGTTTTGAAAAAGGGCAAAAGATCATCCAGATTCTCCTCGAGGCCGGTTTCGCCATCAAGAGAAATAAAGTCAAGGGACCTGCCAGAGAAATCCAATTCCTAGGGGTGAAATGGCAAGATGGACGTCGTCAGATTCCAACAGACGTCATCAATAAGATCGTAGCAATGGCTCCACCGACAAACAAAAAAGAAACCCAAGCTTTTCTGGGAGCCATAGGCTTCTGGAGGATGCACATCCCAGAGTACAGCCAAATTGTAAGCCCTCTTTACTTTGTGACCCGTAAAAAGAACAACTTCCAGTGGGGTCCTGAACAACAACAGGCTTTTAGGCAAATCAAGCAAGAGATTGCACATGCCGTGGCTCTTGGTCCAGTCAGGACGGGACCAGATGTAAAGAATGTACTTTACTCTACAGCTGGAGATAAAGGTCCCTCCTGGAGCCTCTGGCAAAAAGTGCCTGGCGAGACGCGAGGGCGACCACTTGGTTTCTGGAGCCGAAGCTACAGAGGTTCTGAAGCCAACTACACCCCTATGGAAAAAGAAATCTTAGCGGCATATGAAGGCATACGAGCAGCCTCAGAAGTGATTGGTACCGAAACACAGCTCTTCCTGGCACCCCGATTACCAGTGCTGAGCTGGATGTTCAAGGGTAAGGTGCCCTCTACGCATCATGCCACCGATGCCACGTGGAGCAAGTGGATGGCTTTGATTACGCAACGTGTCCGAATGGGAAACTCGAATCGCCCTGGAATTTTGGAAATTATAACCAATTGGCCTGAAGGTGGGAACTTCAGTCTGGCGGATGAAGAAGAAGAAGAGCCAGTGAGTCGAGCTGAAGAAGCTCCGCCATATAATCAGTTGCCAGATGAAGAGACACGTTATGCCCTCTTCACTGACGGTTCTTGCCACATTGTAGGAAGGAACCAGAAATGGAAAGCAGCTGTGTGGAGTCCCACCCGACGGGTGGCAGAAGCCACTGAAGGTAAGGGTGAATCGAGTCAGTTTGCGGAACTCAAAGCTGTCCAATTGGCCTTAGACATTGCAGAAAGAGAAGGATGGCCAAGACTCTACCTCTACACTGATTCGTGGATGATAGCCAATGCCCTATGGGGATGGCTAGACAGGTGGAAGAAAATGAATTGGAGACGTAGAGGAAAACCCATCTGGGCTGCCGACTTGTGGCAAGACATCGCTGCCAGAGTGAAAAAACTGAATGTGAGAGTCCGCCATGTAGATGCCCATGTGCCCAAGGATCGAGCTAATGAGGAACACACTCATAACAGACAAGCAGACCGTGCTGCACAAGTCGAGGTGTCACAAGTAGACCTAGACTGGCAGCAAAAGGGTGAGTTGTTCCTAGCTCGATGGGCCCATGATGCTTCAGGCCATCAGGGCCGAGATGCCACCTATAGATGGGCACGAGACCGAGGGGTGGATTTAACCATGGACTCTATTTCCCAGGTTATCCATGACTGTGAAACCTGTGCTGCCATTAAACAGGCCAAAAGGTTGAAGCCCCTATGGTATGGTGGACGCTGGGACAAGTATAGATACGGAGAAGCATGGCAGGTCGACTACATCACATTGCCACAAACCCGCCAAGGTAAACACTATGTGCTTACCATGGTGGAAGCGACTACTGGATGGTTAGAGACATATTCGGTACCACATGCAACAGCCCGGAATACCATTCTAGGTCTCGAGAAGCAAGTCCTGTGGAGACATGGTACTCCAGAACGAATTGAGTCAGACAATGGGACTCATTTTAAGAATAATCTGGTGGCCACTTGGGCACGGGAGCATGGTATTGAATGGGTATATCACATTCCATATCATGCACCCGCCGCTGGGAAAATTGAAAGGTGTAATGGACTGTTAAAAACAACTCTGAAGGCACTAGGTGAGGGAACTTTCAAGAACTGGGACAAGCACTTAGCCAAGGCCACCTGGCTAGTTAACACTAGAGGCTCTGTCAATCGAGCTGGCCCTGCCCAAGCAGAATCCCTCCACACTGTAGATGGAGACAAAGTTCCAGCGATCCATCTGAGAGGTATGTTAGGGAAGGCTGTTTGGATTACTCCTCCCTCGGGCGAAGACAAACCCATTCGTGGGATTGTTTTCGCTCAAGGGCCCGGAAATACCTGGTGGGTAATGAGAAAGGATGGGGAGATCCACTGTGTGCCTCAAGGAAATTTAACCTTGGGGAAAGACTAATCATGTGCTTTGAGTTGTGTTTTACAGGAAACCAGTCACCAGGTGGGAAAGACCTGAACAAACTAATGCCGGAATCCAGTGATAAACCAGCCCAGACCAGAGAACCAGCCCTAAAACCACAACTGTAATTGTCACCAAAGGGCCAAGAATCTGAACCAAACTAATCCTGATGCTGATTCTTCTACAACAAGATGGATACTCTAAAGAATGAACAAGGACTATATACATTTATCCATATGTGTATATATGCGAGGGTTATAAGTGAAAGCAGAATATAGGTGTTACGTAAAAATAGTATGGAATAAGGGGTGGAGAATGTGATGGTTTTGATCTAGGCCTTCCTGGTAACAAGTTTGTAATCAAGGAAGTGGCCAAGTACCCAGTATTCCAAAGGATTTTTACATAAACTAGAGTATAAATATGTTGGAGATTAGAGACCTCTCTCTCTCTTCTCTTCCAACGAGGGTCGGGAACTGTAGGTCCTTGCGTTGGTCTCGCTTATCTAAAGCTGAGGCCTGCAGTGACCGCTGGCCTGCCACGTGGGGGGTTTGGAGAGTGCTGGCTGTGTCTGCCAATCCCGCTTTTCTAAGGGAAGTGGTGAGATCTGTTTTGTTAGTTACTAGTATAGTTCTTGAATTTGATCAAGTATACCTGTTCGGTGTCCCTTTTTTTCCCCTTTCCCTATCCCTTCGGGGAGTAGATCCCCTTTTACTGTGTATATAGCATCTTAACTGTATATAACTTTAATTTACGTAAATATATATATATTTTATATAAACAGCTTGACTTTGGGTTCTTTAATTTTTTATAGTTTTTTTTCTTTGCCCTAAGAGGAGAAGGGAGGGGGGAAGGGGGCTGCTGTTGTGACTTTCGGGCATTTGGTAGAGAGCCAGGTCCAAACTATCACAGATATATTTGTGTCTGCTCACTAGTGGAAAATATTTGTATTTGTTCATTAATAAAATATGTATGATTGTGAAATGTGTGAAATATGAATGTATTTATCTTTCCGTGTTTAGATCCCGGTCAAGGCCATGGCAGTCGATGTCTGGCCTTGTTTGGCAGCAGGTGGTGCACGTTGAGTCCCTTGGTTTGCCCCTTAGGCCCTGGCCAGGCTTTGGGTGGAGAAATTACACCCTTGTTCCTTAGAGTTGGTGTCTGTGTGTCTTATGCTGACCCTCTTCCCCTGGAGAAACAGGGTCCAGTGTGACACTGCAAGGGCTCATGGAACCCAAGCAATTTTGGGACAGGGTGGAACCTGGTGGAATCAAGGGGCCATGGTGACATTTCCAAACCTCAGGGAATCAAGGGGCCACTGGGACTCTGCAGGGCCTTATGGAAGCAAAGGAAAAGTGGGACACTGCAGAACCTCATGGAAGTAAAGGCCCATTTTGACATGGCAGGGCCTTATGGAACCAAAGGAGCCCTGAGACATTTCAGAAACTCGTGGAATTAAGGGGACATGGTCACACTGCAGAGTCTTATGGAGCCAAAGGGACCCCGGGAACCTCAGGGAACAAAGGGAGCATTTGGACACTGAGGGGCCTCATGGAACAGGGAGGCTCTGCAGAGAGACCTCGACAGATCAGAGGGCTGGGAATCACCAACCACAGGGAGTTCAACAAGGGAAAGTTCCCAATTCTGCCCCTGGGATGGGGCAACCATGGATGGACAGACAGAGCAGGAAATGAGAGGCTGGAAAGCAGTGCCAGGAAAGGGCCCTGGGGGTGCTGGTGGGTGCCAGTTGTCCCTGAGTCAGCAGTGCCCTGGCAGCCAGGAGGGCCAAGCCTGTCCTGGGGGCATCAGGGAGGGGATTGTCCTGCTCTGCTCTGCCCTGGGGTGGCCTCACCTGCAATAGTGGGGCAGTTTGGGGGGACACAATATAAGAAAGATATTGAGCCATTAGAGAGTGTCCAAAGGAGGCAACAAAGATGGGGAAGGGCCTTGAGAAGTTCAGTTTTGACTGAAAGCCTACACTAAGACCTTAAATCATCTTATCTGTGAGCTGCCCTCTTGACCCACCCAGAAGCAGCTCTGCAGCGTTTAACATCCTGCTTTGCAGAGGCTGCTGAGCTTTTTGGGCTGGAAGTCAGCTTGAAGAAGACAGAAGTTTTCTATCAGCCTGCACCTCAAGAAGTCTTCCATCATCCCCATATCACCATTGGTGAATCAGAGTTCAAATCAGTCCAGCAATTTAATTACCTGGGAAGCATCATCTCCTCGATTGATGCAGAAATAGACAACAGGTTAGCAAAGCCATACAGAGACTTTGGTAAACTCCATAAAAGAGTGTGGCAAAACAAACACCTGAACAAAAGCGTTACAAAGATGAGCGTTTACAGAGCCATTGTACTGTCTACTCTTCTATATGGGTCTGAATCGTGGGTCATTTACCGCAACTACTTGCGTCTCTTAGAACGCTTCCATCAGCGCTGCCTCCGTACAATCCTAAACATCCACTGGACGGATTATGTGACCAACACGTCTGTCCTTGAACAGGCAGCAGTCACGAGCATTGAGGCCATGCTGCTGAGAACACAGCTGTGCTGGGCAGGGCACGTCTCCAGGATGCAGGACTGCTGCCTCCCTAAGATCGTGTTCTGTGGGGAACTTGCCACTGGTGCCGCAAGAGAGGAGCCCCGAAGAGGAGATACAAGGGCTGCCTGAAACAATCCCTCAGCCTTGGCCATATTGATCATCACCATTGGTCTACCCTGGCCTCCAATCGGGAGGCCTGGAGACACCATCTATAACACTGCTGCTGCTTTTGAGAACACTCACAGGATCACTCTCGAGGAGAAAAGACAATGCAGAAAGAATCGCGTCTTGTCGATATCACCTGGGGAGTCTTTGTGCTGTGCCTTCTGCAACTGGACTTGTCTATCTGGCATTGGCCTTTTTAGCCATCAGCACTCTTGTAGCAAGCATGGGTAGAGCCCTTCTCTGCTGCAGGCAGGCAAGCGAGTGGGAAAGAACCACACACACATCCACAAGATGCAAGTTCAAATCCAGTTTTATTATTGTTAGGCTGTACAATTTATATTATTCTGAGTTCTGTCCACGCCAACACGAGCACAGCACGCCATCACGATTGGTCAGCACGCGCTGTCCACGCGCCCCAGGTAACCCACCGATTTGTGGTTTTGAAGCCCACATTTGCATACCGTTTCCGTTATCACTGTTTTTCCCATCCTGTTTCTGCTGACTCCTGCATTCCTGCAGCAGCAGGCCATTTCTTGTTTATCTTACCGTTACCTCTTGACCTTTTCAGAACTCAGAATAATCATGCAGAATTGCTAAGGCCCCAACACTTCTCAAATCTTCATTTGTGAAGCCCAGCCATGATGATGATGATTTACATAAATAAATCTGTTTTGTGTGGTCCAGACCCCGGGGATGTCACCGTGTCACCGCCTGGGACATTCCAGCTGGGAATTGGTCAGTGTATGCTGAGCATAAAACCTCTTGGCTCTTATTTCTCTCTCTTTTTTTTTTTTATTTCTCTCTCTTTTTTTTTTTAATTTAATCTTCTTTTTCATTACAATTATTAATAATGCGATGACCACGTGTAATTATTATTATTTTTATACTTTTTGCTTTGTTTCAATTATTAAATTTTTTCCTATCT